GGTAGAAAAACATACGGCGCGGGGCAGAATCAGCAGCTCCAGCTCCTCCAATACGAGCAGCACCAGCACCTCCAGCACCAGCAGCTCCAGTAGCGCCTCCAGCACCAGCAGCACCACGAGCTCCGGCAGCGCCAGGACCTCTAGCACCAGCAGTACCTCCAGCACCTCTAGTGCCAGCAGCTCCAGTAGCACCTCTAGCACCAGCAGCACCACCTGCTCCGGCAGCTCCAGCACCTCTAGTACGAGCACCTCCAGGACCAGCAGCTCCAGCACCTCCAGTACCTCCAGTACCTCCAGCTCCAGTGCCTCCAGCACCAGCAGTACCTCTAGCACCTCCACTGCCAGCAGCTCCAGTAGCACCTCTAGCACGAACAGCACCACCAGCTCCAGCAACTCCAGCACCTCCAGTACGAGCACCTCCAGGACCAGCAGCTCCAGCACCTCCAGTACGAGCACCTCCAGGACCAGCAGCTCCAGCACCTCCAGTACCTCCAGCTCCAACGCCTCCAGCACCAGTAGCACCTCCAACACCAGCTGTACCTCCAGGACTAGTAGGTCCAGCACCTCCAGCACCAGTAGCACCTCTAGGACTTGTAGCTCCGGCACCTTCAGCACCAGCAACACCGCTACTACCTCCAACACCAGCAGTACCTCCAGAGTCAGCACCCCAAGAACCAGCACCCACAGTCGCAGCACCCCCAGAACCAGCACCCCCAGTCGCAGCACCCCCAGAACCCGCACCCTCTGTCTCAGCACCCCCAGGCTCAGCACCAGCAGTCTTAGCTCTAGAGTCCACAACAGCAGGCTGCGGAGGCGGCGAAGACGGCCGAGGCGGAAAACCAGGGGGGTCTCCAAACATGGAGAGCAGCAAGTGGCCGCCGTGTCGTCAGCGGCTGGGTCACTCCCCTCAGCTGGGCTAGAGGAGTCAGAAGAGATCTCCAAAGGCTCAACTAAGGGGGATGGGTCTACCTGAGACACACCTGAGGGAGCAGGACCATATGGGGGGAGGGGGTCTACCGGTGGGGGGACTGGTACCAAGAAAAGAGGCGTTAGGGGGACCGGGTGGGACGTGTGCGGGTGTAGTTTGTAGAAACAGACATACTCGTCAAAGGTGACGTCCTGGGAGGAGAAGACTCGACGCTCGCGCTGGTAGTAGAATTGCCACGGCGGGGCGTCGGTGGGGAAGCCAAGGAAGACGCAGCGGAGAGTGCGTAAGGAGAGCTTGCTCGCTTTGGCATCGCGAACAAGGGAGAGCACGCCCCAGACCCGAAACACCGACGCATCGCCAACCTTCCCCGTCCACCGGAGTGTGGGCAAGGTCTCTGGCTCAGAGACACGGGGCCAGAGGTTGAGCTGATGCGCTGCGTATCGGACCGCAAACGGCCACAGAAAATGGGGAGCAACCGCATGGATCATGGAGGTACGAGCAACCTCCATGATCAAGCCAATGCAACGCTCAGAAATCCCATTTTGCTTAGGAGAGGTCGGAAGCGTGAACGACTGGTGGATGCCCTCGTCTCGACAGAACTCTGCAAGGAGGTCAGAAGAGAACTCACCGCCCCTGTCAGAGTGCAGACGCAGGACTGGGAAGTCCCGACTAAACCGCTCGCGCAGCTGGCGACGAGTAGCACGGATCCAGGGGATCAAAACACCGCTGACGTCCGCCTTGCGCCGCATGGGGAAGAGAGTGGTGTAACGTGTGTAGTCGTCAACAACCAGCAGGAAGTAGCGCTCCTGGTCCGTTTCACCGACGGGGGCCGGGCCCCAAACGTCCATGTGGAGAGTCTGCAGAGGAGCAGTGGTCGGAGGAAACTCGGAGGAATGAGGAGCGGCACGCTGCCGCCCCTCGACGCAAGGAAAGCACGGCGGGGCAGGCGAGCGCGGGAGGGAGGGAAGAGACCTGGGAAGGCTAGAAACAAGGAGACGGGAGTGCATGCTGTGCAGACGCGGCAGGGAGGGGTGACCGAGGCGGTGGTGCCAGAGAAGAGTATGGTGGGAGAGTACCCGACACGAGCAAGACGCTGCAAGCTGACCAGACGCAGACACCTGACTCAACGCAGCCACCTGACCTGCCTCAGCCACCTGTGCAGTGGTCAGTGTGTACAGACTAGACCCAGGCCGTCGAGTGAACGTAGCGAGGTCGGCCAGTCCGGGAGCACGTACAGATCGCCACACGCTGCCCTCCAGGAATAAAGGTATCAACCCAGACATCCTGAATGGCAGCGTTGCTCACCAAGTTCGTCGAGAACGTGGAGATGTGGAGACCTGACAGGGAACCGGAGGGGACTGCTGGAAATGGGAGGACAGTGGAGGCTCGCGCGTCTACTGGGCCCCTAGCGGGGTCAGCCAGTGAGACTGGTACCGGTGCAGCAAGTGGTGTGAGTGTGGTGCAGTCACGAAAGAAGCAACGTGACGCACCTAAGTCAAGTGTGAAAATGTGCAAGGCCTCAGCTGAGGAAGGACCTGTGGCGGGAGACGCACGAGCACCTAGAGCTACAGCAGACTCACTAGCATCTGGAGCGGCAGCAGACTCACTAGCACCTAGTGCGGCAGCAGACTCACTAGCACCTAGTGCGGCAGCAGACTCACTAGCACCTAGTGCGGCAGCAGACTTACTAGCACCTAGTGCTGCAGCCTCGACAGAACCAGTGACACATCGCTGAGGAACCAACTCACTAAGCACCTGCGGGGAGAAGGTCTCCTGCTGACTCTGCTGCCGCCTCTGTGCAGTACGCAGAAAACCAAAGCCTCCACCACCTAGACGGGCTTGCTGAAGAACCCACTCGAGAACCTGCTCAGGGGTGGGGTCGTCTGGGAGAGGCAATGACCACCGCTGTCCACCCCTAGCCGCTGCAACTGCCGTGATAGTGGCCATGACAGGCAGTGACGGTCAGTAGTAGGTCCAGCACCTCCAGCACTCCCAGTCGCACCTCCAGCACCAGCAGCACTCCCAGCACTCCCAGCAGCACCTCCACCAGCAGCAGCAGCAGCAATCGTAGCAGCAGAGCGGCTCGGTGGGGCTGGTGATCGAGGTAGGGCGGCGCGGCTCGGGTTGGGCAGGGCGGCTCGGGCTGGGCGGTGCGGCTCGGCCGGGCTGGGCGGCGCGGCTGGGCAAGGCAGGGGGCGCCGCGGACTGCAGGGCAGGGCGTGCAGTGGACAGGGCAGCAGGGCGTGCGCTGTGCAGGGAAGCAGGGCGCGACGCGCGGGGCAGCAGAGCGCGATGCGCGGGCTGCAGTAGGGCGCGACGCGCGGGCTGCAGCAGGGCGCGATGCGCAGGGCAGCAGGGCGGGACGTGCGGGCTGCAGCAGGGCGCGACGCGCGGAGCAGCAGAGCGCGGCGCGCGAGCTGCAGTAGGGCGCGACGCGCGGGGCAGTAAGGCGCGATGCGCGGGGCAGTAGGGCGCGACGCACGGGGCAGTAGGGCGCGACGCGCTGGGCACGGCAGCAGGGCGTGACGCGCTGGGCTGCATGGCAGGGCAGTGCGGCTCGCGAGCTGCAAGGCAGGGCGGCGCGCGGGCCTAAGGGCAGGGCAGCGCGATGCAGGGCAAGGCGGAGCGCGCTGGGCAGGGCAGCAGGGCGCAAATCGCAGGCTGCAGCAGAGCGCGACGTGCGGGGGGCAGGCAGTGCGAGTAGCTGCAGGGCAGAGCGACACTGTGCGAGCAAGGCCGGACAGCGCAAGGGCGCTTCGGGCAGTAACGAGCGGAACTATCGGTGGGCCCTAAAAACTTAACAGGTTTCCTGCTCTGAATACCATGTCAGAATAACTGTGCAGGAATGAATGAACTATGAATGAGTTGGGTACAAGTACTAACCCTAAAGTGTTGTACCCCCTTGTAGGTTAACCCACTATAGCCTAGAGAGAACACAAACATACAGTTCGACATAAGTTTGAGGTGGCAAGGAACAACAAAGTGAGCTGAATGGTAGACGTTTCGGTAACCATGGTGTCGGCTTGAGGCTAAGCCTCTTACAATGATAGAGTAGACGAGCGCCCAAAGTGCCAGCTAAAAGGTCACAGCATATATATTCCATTTTATTCTTGGTCTGGCGATAAATGAATCACTGAAGCAAAAAAGAATCACTATGGCCAAGGGCTATCCTTGATCCCCAAAGATAGTGCCGAACCCGCTTGGCAGCAACCCACTGCTTTGAGGTACGGTACCACAAACGATGCCAACAAACCGAGCAAGAACGAGGACGACGTCGTGCACATTAAGGCATTCATCAACGTGTTGAGGAGGCAGAGGAGCAGGTGGAGGAGGAGCAGGACGACATCCCTGATTATTGAAATGACAGGTTCGACATGATTCTTTCAATCCTGATGCTAACTCGCGCCACCTTTACGGTACCGTAGACTTTATGTGCCAACCAAACCGTTCGAGTAGTGTAATTTTCAGGTCCCCGTGGCCCGCCTACGTAGGGTCCCGCATTAATATCGTCACTATGCGTAGTCCTTCACTTGTAGTGTCCTTTGAGTAGCACCTTCGATATTCGTTTCTCCCAACCACACACATTGTTCTTTTAGAACTCTGCAAAAGCCCTGTCCTCAGTCACTCCACAACAAAGCGACAGGTCGTGTGTGGGCTAGTTTTCTACCACATATTCATACCGTACTTGTAAAGCTTTCATGAAGTATGTTGATAATTGTTGTGCAATTGAGCGAGCGAGGATGACACAAAAAGGCTAGGAAAAAAAGAAAAACATTACAATCAAATTTAATTCAATCGGTGTAGTTCAGATACTACCCCCTAACGAGCATCGACCATCCTTTGTTTGACCACACAGCCTCCATGGCCATCTTGTATGCCTCCACCTGCTGCTCCTCCTCCTCCATTTCCTCCCACCACTCCATGAACCCCACCCCACTAGCCTCCCGTTGAGCCACACTCCCAACCAACCCCTGCGCACCGATAACACACGGCTTATTTCCTCCACCCTGTACGCCTGCATCAGCGTCTGCTAGGTCAAGAGCAGGTTCCAGTGCTACTGTCAGGTGGTTCTCTAGCAGCCCCCTGACAGCTGCACGCGCTGAATCGGAGCCGACATTCCTTTGCCGATCAACGTCGGCACGCTCCTCATGCGAACACACCCTGAGTCCAGAATCTCCGTGTGAAGGCTGTCCATTTGGACGCGCCTGCCCCCCTCTATGTGCCTGACTTCTGCTGGCTGTATGATCTTCATCACCTTCTTTTGATGTGGCACCATCCATGGCAGAAGCACCATCAGCAGTAATATCAGCAGCATCAGCACCACCAGAAGCAGCATCAGCAGAACCATCAGCAGCACCATCAGCACCATCAGCAACATCAGCAGTATCAGCAGCACCATCAGCAGCAGCATCGGCAACAGCAGCATCACCAGCGGCAATAGCTTCATCCTTGCTTGCTTGTTCCCCATGTTGAGCACCTTCGTCCACCTGTATGTGCCCATCCATTTCTTCACAGCCCTCCCCTGCATCAATCTCCATGGCATCAGCAGCACCATCAGCAGCACCATCAGCAGCACCCTCGGCAGCATCAGCAGCACCACCAGCACTACGATTACCACCAGGACCACCAGCAGCAGCAGCGGAAGCAGCAGCGGCAGCACTAGCGGTAGCAGCATCAGCATCAGCGTTGGCATTAACATCAGCATGAGCATCTACTGGAACAACTGCTGAAGTGTCTGCTGCAGGGGATGCAGCAGCATCCGTGGCATAGGTAGAACCAGTGACCGTTGCATCACAAGCAGAAGCAGCAGCAACAGCATCAGCTTCAGCGCCTGTAGCATCTTCTGGAGTAATAGCAGCTTCTGAGACAGTTGCAGCTTCCGAAATATCAGCAGCTTCAGGAACAGCAACTTGTTTGGAACTAGTATCAGCTTCAGGAGAACTAGCAGCTTCCTGATTTGTAAGAGCTTCAGGGAATGCAAAAGTATCAGGAATTGTGTCAGCTTTGGGAATAGGAGCAGCTTCAGGAGGAGTAACATCTTCAGGAACAGTATTAGCTTCAGATGTAAAATAGGGTTCGGGAGCAGCAACAGGTTCAGGAGTGGCAATAAACTCGTGAGTGGTAACAGGTTTGGGTGTGGCAGCAGGTTCGGGGGTGGGAATAAGCTCGGGAGTGGCAACAGGTTCGGGAGCAGCAGCAGGTTCAGGAGTGGCAGTAAGCTCATGAGTGGAAACAGGTTTGGGTGCAGCAGCATGTTCGGGAGCACTGTGGAACATGCAGCAGTTACCGCCACGCCATACACCACTACCATGCACATTCAAGCCATAGGGAATACTTCTGAGCCATGTGCCCTTGAGCCATGCTGCATGTGTGACATCCATCTGCTGCACTGCCACCTCCACCCACTCCGCCTCTGCTTCACCCACCTCTGCTTCACTCACCTCTGATTCTCCCACCACTTCTTCCTCCTCTGCCACCTCTGCATCCCCCACCTCTGCATCCCCCACCTCTGCATCCCCCACCTCTGCTCCCCCCACCTCTGCTTCCCCCCCCTCTGCTTCCCCCTCCTCTGCTTCCCCCGTTTCTGTTTCCCCCTCCTCTGCTTCCTCCTCTGATTCGCCCACCTTTGCTTCCCCCACCTCTGCTTCCCCCGTTTCTGCTTCCTCCGCCTCTGCTCCCCCCTCCTCTACTTCCCCCTCCTCTGTTTCTTCCGTCACTGTTTCCCCCACCTCTGCTTCCCTCGTTTCTGCTTCCTCCGCCTCTGCTTCCCCCAACTTTACTTCCCCTTCCTCTGTTTCCTCCGCCTCATCTTCCCCCGTTTTCGCTTCCCCCACCTTTGCTCCCCCCTCCTCTGTTTTCCCTATCTCTGCTTCCCTCGTTTCTGCTTTCCCCGCCTCTGTTCTCCCCACCTCGGCTTCCCCCGCATCTGCTTCCCGCTCCCCGTCCTCCGCAGCCTCTGCTTCCCCTTCCTCTGTTTCCCCCTCCTCTGTTTCCCCCTCCTCTGTTTCCCCTTCCTCTCTTTCCCCCTCCTCTGTTTCCCCTTCCTCTATTCCCCCCGCCTCTGTTCCCCCCTCCTCTGCTTCCTCCGCCTCTGCTTTCCCCGTTGTCAGGCCCCCCACCTCTGTTTCCTCCGCCTCTTCTTCCCCCATCTCTACTTCCCCCATCTCCACTTCCCCCACCTTTGCTTCCGCCGTCTCTGCTTCCCCTACCCTTGCTTCCCCCGCCTCGGCTTCCCCCATTTCTGCTCCCCCCGCCTCATCTTCCCTCGCCTCGGCTTCCCCCCTTTTGGCTTCCCCCACTTCGGCTTTCCCCGCTTCCGTCTCCCACGTCTTTTCTTCCACCACCTTTGCTCCCCCCACCTCTGCTTCCATCATTTTTGCTTCCCCCACATTACCTTTATCTGGTGCACCAGGCACTTCAGTTGGTTCTGCTGCTTCAGGAGTTTTGGTCAGGCAGGATGTTGGTGGTGCTTTCTGCACTTCATGTGCATCCCGCACTTCAGGTGCTTTCAACAATGCAGGTGCTCCCAGCACTTCAGTAGCTGTCAACAAGTCAGGTTCTTTCAGCGATTCAGGTGCTCCCAGTACTTCAGGTGCCCTCAGCACGTCTGGTGCTTTAGGCAATTCAGGTGCTCCCAGCACTTCAGGTGCTTTCGGCACTTCAGGTGCTTTCAGCAATTCAGGTGCTTTCGGCACTTCAGGCAGTACGTCAGGTGCTTTCAGCACTTCAGGTGCCTCCAGTACTTCAGGTGTTTCAGGAGCACTGAAGAAAGATTCATCCGAATCAGAATCTCCAAACGTGGCTGAACCTGGAATGCCTTCATCAGTACCAGCAGTGACAGATGCACCTACCCCAAATAGCCCTTCCTCAGAAGCCCCTTCCTCACAAGCCCTTGCACTCAAAGGCCCCTTAGAAGCGAAAACCTTTCCCTCACTCCCCTTGTCGCCACCAAGCCCCGAACAAGCTGTCTCACCCTCGCTCCTACTCTCACTCACTCCCTCACAGCCACTGTCCCTCCTCTCACCACCCACCCCTTCACAACCACCGTCCCTCCTCTTACCATTCACTCCTTCACCCTTGGTTTCGCTTCCGACGCCGCTGGACTCACACCCACTTGACTCATCCTCCTCTGCCTTTCTCGCATGCTCACATCCGCTACCACTCTCCCCCACACCTCCCCTTCCCCCCATCACCCCCACTCTTTCCACTTCAGCTCGGTCCTTCCCCATTACCACGTCTCCGCCTTCACTCCGCCCCTTACCGTCCATGGCCTCTGCTTTTTCCCCTCTCCTCCCTTCCTCCTCATTCTCGCAAACCCCATCTTCACTCCCCTGCTCTTGCGCTGCGCCCTCTCCATTTTCCACATCCGCGGCAATGGCCCCATGCGCTCCCCCACTGCCCTTGCAGTTTCCCGCAAAACCTCCGCCTTCCCCGCCAGTGCTTTCGCCAACGCCTGCATGGGCGCAATCTCCGTCCGCCATTCCCCGTTTCCGCTCTCCTATCTCCGCGTCCCCCTCCCCCTCACCCGCCATCTCTTTCACTGCCATCCCTTGCACGGGTTCCTCCTTACCGTTCCCAACCCCTTCCGCCACCACTTCCCCCTCCACCGCCATCTCTTTCACTGCCATCCCTTGCACGGGTTCCTCCTTACCGTTCCCAACCCCTTCCGCCACCACTTCCCCCTCCACCGCCAATACTCCTTCCGCCACCACTTCCCCTTCCGCCGCCAATACTCCTTCCGCCACCACTTCCCCTTCCGCCGCCAATACCCCCCCCGTCACCACTCCCCCCTCCTCCATTACTTCCCCTTCCGCCACGCCTCCGACATCGCGCCTGTCACTTTCGTGCGCGTGCGCGCCAATCGCCCCCTCATCTCCCGCCATCCCTTCCGCGCACGCCTGCGGAGACTCCCCGTTACCCTCTGCCTCCGCACCGCCTTCTGTTGCATCTTCCGCCTGCCCCCGCTCCTTCCCCGCCTCCTCTGCGAGCACACTCCCCGCGCAAGTCCCCCCAGCCGCGGATTCATCTCCGTCGTTCCGCGCATCTTCCGCAGGGGCACTGAGCGACTCTTCCCGGGCGCCTTCCCGCGCTTTCCCGCGCGCCTCTGCTTCCCCGGTACTCGCGCGGCCCTCGGTTTCATGCGCTGCTGCCGCCACCGCCTGTGTCGACGCTGCTTCCGCGCTTCCTTCCGCGCTTCCATCCGCGCTTCCCTCCGCGCTTCCATCCGCGCTTCCCTCCGCGCTTCCCTCCGCGCTTCCTTCCGCCGCGGCGAGAATAGCAGGTTCGATAGTAGAGGCGTCGTCTGCTGTTTCAAGGTTAATCACCCGTGGTTCGATTACCCCTGGTGCGCTCAACCCCACGTCAACCACACCACCACACGCTTCCATCGCGATTGCGGCATTTTCCTCAACTTCCTCCGCCTTCGCCGCTTGCGCCGGCGATTGCGAGAGCTGCGGCACGATCGCGAGCTTCACACGCTTCTGCCGCTTGCGCGCGCATCGCGTGCCGGCACCGCCAATAGCACCACCACAGGGCGGAACTGCCACCTGCATTCCCGCACCCTCCCCTTCCCCCCACGCGCGCTTCGAACGCGTCCTTCCTTCGTTCCCGCTCCTCCCGTCCTGCTCCCGCCGCGCAGTTCCGTCAGTCTCTTGCCCCTCCACCCCGTCACCTACAGTCGCGGCGCGGTCAACCTGCGCAAGCTCCAGCCCATGACCCTTCGAGACGGGGCTGTTGGTATCGCTGCGGTTACTGGGAGTCTTGGGATTGCTGGAGGTGTTACCAGCATGCGCAACGGCGACGCAGTCAACGTGCGCAAGCTCCAGCCCGTGACTCGTCGTTCCGGGGCCGTTGGTAACACTGCGGGGACTGGGAGTCATGGGGTTGCTGGAGGTGCTACCATGCGCGACGGGGGGAATGGTGCCGCAAGCGGGACTCTTCCCGCTGCTGCCCTGGTTGCGGCGGTTGCGGCGGCTGCTCGCTGCGTTGATCCATACGGGTGACGCTACGATACGCGATATCAGCGAGAACTTCTCCGCCTTGTCCCGTTCCTTGTCAGAAGCCACTAAGGCCGCGGCGCCGCAGCCACTCGACCCGCTGCTGCTGCTGCTGCTCCCCGCGGTGGGTCGTGCGGTTACTGGATGGTCCAAGGCGGCGGAAGCGCGTGTGAGAATCTGGGTGGGAGATGATGCGGCGGCGGCGGCTTCCACGGGGCTGGGGGAGTTGTGGAGGAGAGTCGCAAGGTGCGCGGGGAGGGGCGCGGGGACGCGGAGGAGAGCGGCGAGAAGGCGCACGGCGCTCGGGGAGAGTCGGCGCAGCTGCCTGACTAGGGGACGAGGCGCGAGGCGCAGCTTATTGTGAAGCTCCTGAAAGAGAGGGTGGGAGATGACGAAGCGGGAGGAAAGGATTGAAGTGAGCAAAACAGGGAAAGGTGGCCTCCTACAGGTGCTATGCCTCCGAAAGTACTGGAAGTGCCTCCTGAAGGCAAGTGGAAGCTGTCTACTGCCAGAGTGCCCTTTTCTACCCTGGACTTGGACGTTCGGCGTGTCAGTGTCACGTCGGGCGGATTTGTTTTAGATCCAGTCGTCGCACCAGGAATGATCATGAACGTCGAGCATGATGTCTGCCCAGTCGTCCACCCACCATGAACAAGGGCGACTGCCACGCATCGAGCTCCACGGCCACTAGAGCGAGCGCGTCCGTCAGAGTGACGCCGGAAGATAGATTCCCGCCGGACAGCGGCGCGAACGCCTCCCGTGCTGCGCTTCCTCCTCCTCCCGCCGCCGCAGCCGCTGCCGTCGCCGCCGGTGGCGCCACCGCTACTCCCTCGCCGGTCGTGCCCACCAGCCGCTCCACATCGCTCACGAACGTCTGCAACGCGTCGCCGTAGAGTACTTCGGCCGTGAGTCGCGTCGCACCAGGGCCCAGCTCGTCGAGGTCCGTGATTCGCCTAAGAGGACCTCTACCGGCCACTTGTTTTAGTGGCTGCGTGTCCACAGCAAGCGGTGCAGCGGAGCCAGTTTTGCCCGGAAGTTTCGATGGTTGCTTACGCTTCATCGTGGCTTTGACTTGAATGGTGGGTTAGAACGTCTCGTAGGCAAAGACAAGGGTAAGCAAGCATGCTAAATCAGGACAATGGCGATAAGCTGGGTCGATACTATGCTTTGTGTGGTACTAAGGAGGACTAGGGATGATGGATGCTGAATATGCTTGGGGTGTGCTTGCTTGGATTTTGAAGAAGGGATGGGATAGGAATGGTGGGAGGAGGCAAAGAGCCAAATTTGGTGGGGCCATCGTGGTGGAGCGGTTCAGCCGCAGCGTGAGACAAAGGAATCACGGCACGTTCCTTAGGGATGAGACCAGAACTTCAAAATTCAAATTAACAAAGTGTACCCGATACAGGCCAGTACTCTCCTACTAAGCATGTGAAAGTCTAATAAAGTGCTGGGCATAACTGTGTAGAAGAAACAAATACAGAAGTGGTAGGCCAGACAGAATATAGTGCAGGGTGTTACTTCACTCCCCCCGATAACATGCCTTCAGTGTAGAAATTTATAGCTTAAAAAAAAATCAAGGGATTATGACTTCAATATGAATTTCAGATGTTATTCAATTTCCATGCCGAACTCGGATATAATTTGATGTCTGTCATAGAAAACCAGACAAAAGGGTGTGGCATCAAGCTGAGCTAATACTTTTCTCAGCGTTCTACCTTATTCTGCATTGTAATTCACCACAAGCACTTTGACCACGACGCTGACTCGCTCACCCCCAAGCGACAGTCAACAGTGCCGCGCCGACTTTCCAATATTTTCTCCTCCACCTTCCGACCCCCTCTACGTTGACTGGATTCGCGTTGACCCCCAGATCCTCCTCGCCGTCCGATAGTCAAACAAAGATTTCTCCCAATGGCAGCAAAGGCGTTGGCATTCGAAGTACAAATAGTGAGCTCGCACGACGCATTACCCAGTGCAGCGCTTGCCTCAGACACCTTTCCACGCCGCGGCGGTCGAACCTCCTCGGCCATCCCAACAGAATTGCCTCATCGGCTCCCACTCGAACCGCCGTCGCCGTCGCCGCATTTTGCGTCCACCGAAGTCTGTGGCTCGTTTCCCTCTTCGCCACTCCCACTCGCATCTCCACTTCGCATTCGACTCGCGCCCTCAGGTGTTTCCGTCGCATCCTCGACACGCCGCTGAACTATTTCTAGTTACACGCGAATATTTCAACGTTACGCGCCGCCCTCCATGATGGCACCTCGTCGCGCCTCGTCACGCCTCGTCCCCGCCTTCGCGCTCGTCGCGCTCCTCTGCTTTGCGCGCATCGATCACGCCGCGTGCAATGCGCGATCGTTCGGCCTTCCGCGTTTCGGGGGAAGGCTCGGCGGCTTGGTGGGAGGGTCGGGGACAGGCGGCATCTGGTCCTACTTCCGCCCCCCCGGGACCAGCGGCGCCGGGGGAAGTGGCGCGACGAGTGGCGGGCAGAGCGGGCAGAGCGGGTTTGGCTCGCAAGGAGGTGGCGGAATGAGCGGACAACCGAGTAGTACGGGCGGAGGAGACATGGGCGGAGGAGGCATGGGCGGAGGAGCCATGGGCGGAGGAGGCTTGGGCGGAGGAGGCATGGGCGGAGGAGGCATGGGCGGAGGAGGCATGGGCGGGGGAGGCATGGGCGGAGGAGGCATGGGCGGAGGAGGCATGGGCGGCATGAGCGGAGGAGGCATGGGCGGACCTGGCACGGGGGGAGGAGGCATGGGCGGAGGAGGCATGGGCGGAGGGGGCATGGGCGGAGGGGGCATGGGCGGAGGAGGCATGGGCGGAGGGGGCATGGGCGGAGGAGGGATGGGCGGAGGGGGCATGGGCGGAGGAGGCATGGGCGGAGGAGGCATGGGCGGAGGGGGCATGGGCGGAGAGGGCATGGGCGGAGGAGGCATGGGCGGAGGAGGCATGGGCGGGGGAGGCATGGGCGGAGGAGGCATGGGCGGAGGAGGCATGGGCGGAGCAGGCATGAGCGGAGGAGGCATGGGCGGGGGAGGCACTGGTGGAGCAGGCACGGGGGGAGCAGGCATGGGCGGAGGAGGCATGGCGGAGGGGGCATGGGCGGAGGAGGGATGGGCGGAGGGGGCATGGGCGGAGGAGGCATGGGCGGAGGAGGCATGGGCGGGGGAGGCATGGGCGGAGGAGGCATGGGCGGAGGAGGCATGGGCGGAGCAGGCATGAGCGGAGGAGGCATGGGCGGACCTGGCACGGGGGGAGGAGGCATGGGCGGGGGAGGCATGGGCGGAGGAGGAATGGGCGGAGGAGGCATGGGCGGACCTGGCACGGGGGGAGGAGGCATGGACGGAGGAGGCATGGGCGGAGGGGGCATGGGCGGAGGGGGCATGGGCGGGGGAGGCATGGGCGGAGGGGGCATGGACGGAGGAGGCATGGGCGGAGGGGGCATGGGCGGAGGGGGCATGGGCGGAGGAGGCATGGGCGGAGGGGGCATGGGCGGAGGAGGCATGGGCGGAGGGGGCATGGGCGGAGGGGGGATGGGTGGCGGGTCATCGGGTGGGAGTACGTGTGGCAACAGCAGCAGCAGCAGGAGCGCCAAGCTCACGAGCAGCAACGGCAAGAGGTGCGGCGAGTCCCTCTGCCTGCCATACTCCTTCCCTCCTAGCCCCATAACCGCTTCATGCACACTCAAGGCATACTCATCACTTCCCTTCGTGCCTGTCCTTCCGTCTTCCCCCTGCGCTGCTCCCCCTTTGTTCCTCCGGCCCCATTGCCTAAACCTTAAACCCCGTGGCAGGGTGATGGCAAGCAACGGGTGTCCGGGGTACGAGTGGCGAGTGCAGGGCACGGTGAATACGCCAGTGCAGCAGACTCTCTCCTTGTCTGTGCCGCTCGCCCCCACGCTCGCCTCCTCTGCCATTCCTGTCTCCGTGGGCGGCTGCAAGATGGGGCCCATCGGCTTTGCCCTCAACGGCGTGCCCTTCTACAGGTGGGATCACCACCGTTCTACTCACCAGAAGAACAACTCGACGAGCGCACTCCTCGTCGCGAATCATTGGAGCCTAACCCGACGTATGCAGCCATCGCCCAAAGCGAGCCGTCCGGAAAAGACACTTGGTTCTTGGACAGCTGCTGCGGACAACACATGTGCTCCTCGGGTCGCTTCGTTCAACAGGAACATCAACTTCAGCGCGAAGTCGTAATCACCGTCGCCAACAACCAGAACCTGCACACACGACGACAAGGGATCGTGCAACTTCAGTCTTGAGAAACTAACGTTATTTTACAAATGTCAAAGGTTCTAATCGCAGAAGGACTCGGCTACAACTTACTCAGCGTCAGTCAACTGATGGCGAAGGGTGTTCATCTCGAAGCAGATAGCACCACTCAGGAGTTCAAGTTATTCCACGGAAAGGGCGGAATCTACATCGGCAAGCAATCTTGAAGAATAACGTCTTCGTTCTTGATTTCTTTTCGGACCAAGGAACCGCCAACAGCGACGCCATCATCAACTTCACTTGTTGGACACATCCACCCGATCTCGACCCCGACTTCAGTCCTGGAGGATTCTGGTATTCACATACCATACCTGTGTTAGAATATATCTGTAACTGCCTGTAGCTGTAGTTAGTGTAGTTATTATAAACTTTGTTAGGTGGTGCACCTTCTTTGTTCATTTGCTATATGTTCTTGCAAACCTATAGTGAAGTCATTCATTCTCCTCTCTCGACTCTCTCGACTTGGCACAACCACCTCGACTCCCATGGCCTAGGCTTCTAAGCCTAGGCCCTTAACCTAAACTTTGCCTACTTCTTGATTTTGACATGGTATTCAGAGCAGGAACCTTCCTGCTGCCTTCCTTAACGGGCCCACCATTTTGCTTCCGCTACATGTCGTCCTGCCGCGCGCCTAGGGCGCGCGGCGATTTTCTGCCCGCTGTGTGCTCGGGGCGCACGGCGGTTTTCTGCCCGCCGTGCGCCCCGGGCGCGCGGCGTCTGCCTGCCTGCCTGCCTGCCTGCCCGTCGTGCGCCCCGTGGCGCGCGACGGTGCCCTGAGCCGCCGCGGACCCGCCCCTGGCGCCCGCGACGGTGCCTTGAGCCGCCGCGGACCCGCCCCTGGCGCCCGCGACGGTGTCCTGAGCCGCCGCGGACCCGCCCCTGGCGCCCGCGACGGTGCCTTGCGCCGCCGCAGACCCGCCCCTGGCGCCCGTGACGGTGGCCTGAGCCGCCGCGGACCCGCCCCTGGCGCCCGCGACGGTGCCCTGGGCCGCTGCGGACCCGCCCCTGGCGCCCGCGACGGCGCCTCTTCATCACCAGCGCCTGCACTCGGTGCAGCCGCCCGTGCCTCACATGCGCCTGCACTCGGTGCAGCCGCCCCTACCCTACCCGCGCCTGCCCTCGGTGCAGCCGCCCCTGCCCTTCCCTGTGCGCCACCCCTCTGTGGCTGTGGGGCGGCTTCTTCCCCGCCACCCCCCCCCCCCCTCCTCCTTCTTCTTCCTGCTGCGCGTGCAGCCGTGGGGGGGAGGGTATGGAGGTGGCGGGTATGGGGGTGATGGGTGGTATGGTCCCTTCCCCTCCTCCTCCTTTCGTTCCCACTGCTGCTGCTGCCGCTGGGGGGAGGGTGTGAGGGTGTGGGGGAGCCAGGGGAGTGGCATTGGGGTGGCGGGTGTGAGACATCCAGCCCCCGTCCCTCTGAGGTGGGGGGGGGGGGGGGGGAGGAGAGTAAAGGGGTGGCAGGAGTGCCTGCCCCCCCCTTTGCTGCTGTACCTGCTTTGTAACCTTGCTTGTTGCCTGCTGTTGCTGTTTTCTCAGTTCGTGGTGTACCCATCCAGGTTGTGTCGCTGCACAGACTCCTGCTTCTGGCAGTTATGGGGGAGTGTCAGAATATATCTGTAACTGCCTGTAGCTGTAGTTAGTGTAGTTATTATAAACTTTGTTAGGTGGTGCACCTTCTTTGTTCATTTGCTATATGTTCTTGCAAACCTATAGTGAAGTCATTCATTCTCCTCTCTCGACTCTCTCGACTTGGCACAACCACCTCGACTCCCATGGCCTAGGCTTCTAAGCCTAGGCCCTTAACCTAAACTTTGCCTACTTCTTGATTTTGACAACCTGAAGCAGAAAGGACAAGGGCATTAGCAATAATCCGTCAAGAAGAAACAACATCGACAGCAGCAGAGACAACATCAACAACAACAACAACACCTACGGCACCAGTCGCAAGTTCTTCGACGGCACCATTTCCCATCGACGACACTCCACCGACTCCTGCGCAGCAGTTAACTCCCACTCCACGCGAAGTTCACAGAAGCGCCAACCTCACCGCGGGATTTTACTCCAACTCCGATCTGTACAGGCGCTCACCAGGACATCGTGCAAGCGAATCACTGTGGCATGAAAGATTGGGACATCCGAGCAACACAACGTTAAACAACACGATCAAGGCAGCAGTACTCGACAAAGATTCCTTACTTCTACCCGACGGCAGAGAACTTCAACGAGTCCGAGGAACCTGTTTTACTTGCCCCGAAGCCGACTTACCTCATCAACCATTTGTCTCTCACCACAATCCAAGTGCGCCAACCTACGCACCACTCGAGAAAGTATACAGCGACATTCTGTATACTCGTGAACAAGGACAGGGAGCATATAACTATGTGATTACTTTCATCGACGCCGCCACCCGATACGTCTGGCACCTCAACCTCCCAAGTCGCGACATGGCCTTCGAAGCCTTCGTCGCCTGGCTACCTGTGGCAGAACGAGAATCAGGAGCAAAGCTGAAAAGCTTCCAGTCAGACGGGGGAGGGGAATATCAGTCACAAAGGTTCCGGCAGTACCTTGCAGAACCAGGCATCAAGCGACTCATCTCGCTTCCCTACGCCCATCAACAGCAAGGCGTGGCAGAGCGGATGAACATAACTCTCCAGAACACCATGCGCAAACTGTTGCGTGGCATGCGACTGTCCAACCACCAGTGGCCTGAGGCGATGGACCACGCTGTCATGCTGCACAACTTGCTCTCGTCATCATCGCTCCCGAACAACGCATCACCGCACCTGCTGTGGACAGGGAAACTGGGCAACACAAAAATGTTACGAGTTTTTGGGTGCATGGTACAGTACCGCCCGCACACTGCAAGAGCCGGAAGATTTTCCCAACGCGCACAGTGGGGGCTACACCTGGGCATCGAAAAGCATTACAACGCATGGAAGATTTTCGACGTCCACTCGAAGGAAACAGTAGCAGCACGTGATGTCATTTTCTACGAACGACTCACACTTCAAACGTACCTGGACAACCTGGCAGCAAATCGAGACCTCACGGGCGGCTTCCGTGGCAACCGAGCATTCGCTTCAGCAGGAGACGAAGCTGACTGGGACGAGCAGAATGTGGACGGAGCTTCGGAGGAAGCCGGACCTCTTCCGTATTACTCAGTGGACATCCCCATGGACGACGACAACCCTCGCGAAAGTGTCAACGCCGAAACCTACTTCGACTTCGCCGACACCGGTTACGTTACACCCCAACCGGTCGACACCAACGTCTCCGAACGCATAGGACCCAACTTCCTCCCAGATCCAGAAGCGGGAGAGCAGCTTATCCCGAGGACGCAAATCTCCCCCGCTACACACAGAGTGGACTGCAGATACTAGGACTCGTCACCGCTGTCCACGGAGCAGCCCCACCTAAGGAGCCTGCCAACATTCAGCAGGCTCTGGGGGGGGAACACAGGGAAAAATGGCCAGAAGCCATGGACAGAGAGTTAAAGGCGCTGCAAGAATGCAACACCTGGAAACTCGTGCCTATCGAAGTGGCACGCAACAAGACCATTCTCACGGGAAAATGGGTTTTCCGCGTAAAAACAAAAGCCGACGGAACAATCGACAAATTCAAGGCTCGCTGGGTCGTGCGTGGCTTCGACCAAGAGCAAGGACGAGACTTCACGGAAACATTTGCACAAGTCAGCCGACATACCTCACTACGGATTCTCCTCGCGATAGCCGCCATGAACCGGAAGAACTTCGACAAATCGATGTCGCCAACACTTTCCTCTACGCCCCTGTCAATGCTGAGATCTTCGTTGAATTCCCGCACGGGTCTGATACAGACCCCAACCAAGTCTGTCAGCTGGAAAAATCGCTGTACGGCATCAAACAGGCCCTAAGACTGTGGCAGCAGCATCTTCACGCCCGCCTAATCCGCATCGGATTCCTCCAACTACCGCACGACCAAGGGATGTACCGACTCACTAAGGCGACTGACTACATCCTACTCATCGTCTACGTAGACCACCTCCTCTACATAGGCTCCACCGACGACATAACAACCTGGTTTGAAGGGGAGCTGCAGCGGGATCTTACACTCACCGTCGCGACTACCGTGACACAGTACTTGGGACTTAACATTCAAGACGGCGACAACGCAATCTACCTCAGCGCCGAAAAATACACGAACACCATCGCTAAACGATTCGAACTCACCCCAGCGACCATCACCACGCCATACCGCTACACTGACGGAAATCGCAAAGTCTCCGCCCTACTCAAACCTGCATGCATTCGCGACTACCGTGACACAGTACTTGGGACTTAACATTCAAGACGGCGACAACGCAATCTACCTCAGCGCCGAAAAATACACGGACACCATCGCTAAACGATTCGAACTCACCCCAGCGACCATCACCACGCCATACCGCTACACTGACGGAAATTGCAAAGTCTCCGCCCTACTCAAACCTGCATGCATTCGCAACTACCAACGAAAGCTAGGCTGTCTACTCTTCGCAGCCGTTACCTGCTGACCGGATCTATCTTACTCAGCTAGCCAACTTGCTACCTACCTCAAGAAGCCTGAAGCAGAGCATATGATGGAGCTCGACCGTGCACTTCACTACCTCGTCAGCACCCCGATGATCGAATTAACCTACCACAAGACCACAACTACGACAGCTAAGTTAATCGGCTACGTCGACGCCGATCACGCTGGAGATTTTGAGAACAAACGATCTCGTACTGGCTACATCTACCGACTCGAACCTATTGGTCCTATCTCATGGCAGTCGAACAAGCAAGAGCTAATCGCTCTCTCCTCAGCAGAAGCAGAATATATCGCACTCTGCTCAGCCACCAAGGAAGGGCTATATCTTCGCTAATTGCTGGAGGAAGCAAAATTGGCTCAGTTACCCAGCTTCTCCCTCTTCTGCGTCAACCAATTGGCCATTTGTATAGCAAACAAAAATGGGTTCGCGAATCGAACGAAACACATCGCCCTCCGGTACTTCTTAGTAAAAGATGAAATCGAGAAGGGAAGACTCGAACTATCCTACTGTCCCACATCCGAGATGGCAGTCGATTACTTGACCAAGAAACTCAAAAA